AATCAATCATAATAATATTCTGAACAAAGCTAGTCAGCAGAATAAATTGTGGGGGAAATTAGATTTGGCTATGTACATGCAACAGATAAATATAAATGATTGTCAAAATAAGGCACGAATATGGATTGAGATTTAAAAAATAATACATCTTAGTGTCAACAAATTCAGTACAAATTATAATTAAAATACCACTGCAAGAATTATTCTTTTCAAAGATTAAAAGTAAACTAGCAAAACAAGTTAATATATAAGTATTTACTTTCAAAAAAACCAATACTACAACAAATAATATGTTAGTTTAGTTAGCAATAAATCTGAATATCTTTTTACAGCTAAGTAAGAACTAGCCGTTTCTATACTAGCTCACCTATATGCCACTGTCATCAAAGTATGCACTGAGAACATTTCTCGTACTGAATTTTCATCGCAATATTCGTATGAATGCAGCAAGAACAATAGTCTCAATTATTTTGCTTTTCGACTTCTCTTTTTTTCTTGTAAAATCAAATTTATTTTCTGTTTAAATAACATATTTCAAGCATTTCGTATGCACTGATGAAGTAATGTCCTTGATGCTCATTTTCATGACGGCTGATTCTGAATAATAGCTATTATCACTTCATCATCTATTCTATCATAATCAGACAATACTACAAATTTTACCCTTGTCATATTCTCATAATGATCTCATAAGCAAACTAATGATTGAAGCTAACTTACCATTCGTTTATTAGAAGCATTGTTAGGTAGTAATATTTGATTAAATTAAATTATTTATAAATGAAAATTTGGGAAGGATAAGATCAGTAGCACCTTAACAACACTTTACGACTAGCAAGAAGAATTCTGACAAATTTTCAGAAAATGCAGAAATTCATTACAACGAAAAAATGCGCAACAACTGTTGTCCGAGAAAATGATTCAGTCATCATCCATCGGTCATAAACAAACGAATCACAGCATGCTTACACTTTTTGCTATCAAATAAATCAACAACAATACCTTCCCAGAAAACATAAATGATAAAATGAGTCACTCATGATTCATAAATGCAGGATAAATGTGTGCGTGTATATCCTACATATATATGTTCACCACATGCGGCATCAGCATTACCATCATCATCATCATCATCCTCAACCATCGTTCGTATCAGAAAACTTTATTCTGACCTCGTTCAACATCACCTTTACTTCCTGTTGACGATCCATACGTATCAATCTTCAAGAATCATTCAGCATTCTTATCAATTCACAATACCGGAAGTCATTTTCTGCTTTCACAAATGTTAAAACAAATAGTATAGCATGATAAAATGATTCACAATATTTACTCTTTCGGTACACCACAAATTTTAAACTTCCATACATCATTTCTCATCACAATATTATTAATTACTTCAAAACATTCACTGCCAACCATTCCTTTATAGTATTAATGTAAACAAATTATTTACATTAGTAATATTCTTATTACTATAAAACTGCATTTACTTTTCAGGTAAAAGTAGTCAGCTCGAAACTGCCTTACCTGTTTGAACAGTACGTTGAAAATTAATGACTAGTTTTCGAATATTTTATTTCATTACTCACTACGTAAACACTGCTTAACTGGATGCCCACCTTTCTTTTTAGATATCCCATCACAGACTACAACATCATCCTACTATCAACACAAGCAGCAACAATTATGCAAGTTAGCATTCTGTATTCTCAGATTAAGATTTGAGTAAGAACTGTTTACAAGCAATCATACACAAATCCAGTGAAATTCAATTTTTATTAGCTGAAAAAAATTTTATCACTCACAAATTTTTATCAATTTTTATGGATTTACACATTTTTCACCTCGCAGCACATAATGCAAAAATTTTTTATACAGCAAATACTACTGCAATATTCAACATGACAACAATAAGCTTTTTTGTTGCTTGTAGCAGAATTTGTATACATTTTTATTCTTTAGCAAAAGCAAAAAATGAATTAAATTAGAAATGACAGAAGAGCAAAAAAACCAAATAGGAATAACTTTACTACAGATTGTTCACTGAAATCAGAATATGGGCTGTCTTCACGATTAGTTAATTAGTTACTTGTGCATATATCCCGATTTTGTAGAACTTCTAAAAAGTAAAAAGTTATCAGGGTCACAGTTAACTGCAAATCTTCCTTAGTTTTAAACATTTACTGACCAGAAACGAATGAACTAGCGTGCAATGTGCGTCCTTTTTTCAAAAATAAATATTTCTCTCTTAATCCACATTTCATGAGACTTATATTGAAGAAGCTTCAAAATTATACTTAGTATGTAGCATTTGCGATTTGCAAATCCAAAATACTTCAGATATATATGAGATGAATCCGTTTCGAATGCTAACTCTGTATGAAGAAGATTTGAAAAATCAATGTTAAGACGAAAAGTAACACATTACTACATTAGAAGTGCAGTAAATCAATTATTAAAGAGTATATTTGTTAGGTCAATGAAAATGACAATATCTTTCAATTTTTTCAAGAAAAACTTTATGATCTTTTATGAAATGCATCGCCATCAATAAAATAATAATTTATATTACTTAATTTCAAAAAACAAAATAAGCGCAAAACGAGCAGTAATGCACTTCAGTAGTACTATAGATATCAAAGTAAAAATTGAATTATTCATATTTCTAAAATTGGTGGTTCTGAAATTTAAAACTGAATGATTATCTGCTATCAAAAACTAAAAAAAAAAACAATTGAAAAATATGAAATCAATGCTCGATAACTTAATTTGGTGCAGTGTAAAACACATAAGCATTCAGCATATGATTCAAAATTAAAAAACAAATCATACGTGTAATTTATTTCTAAAATAAATCGTTTAAAATATACATTTACTGAAAAATATTTTGCTTACTATAAATACACCCAAAATAATGGCTAGTATGTGAGCTGATTATTACCATTACATCAATTTTAAATTAAAAAAAATCCTCTTTAAATATTTCAAGTATTAAGTAGACGTACACTTTTCTATACAAAAAAAAAAAAAAGAAGCTCTATTATCAGATCTATTTTTTTTCTTTTTTCAAAACGAAATTTCGATTCATCGCTTAGCTATCCACATTTGAAAAATAAAAACAAAGACGAACGACGACATATTCAAGTGATTAGATGTGATAGCAGTAGACAGACATAAGATAACAAAACAAAGTTAGCATTTTGCTGATGTAAACTAAGCTTGCACTTGGCATTTTACATCAGTTTTGGGTAATGGACAATTCTTAATTATCTATCTTTTTTAAACTCTTTCAACAGCTGTTACGCTATGCCCTACACATAAAACTTTTCATTATAACAATAAACGAAAATTTTTCCAATGTTACAACTTCTACTCGTAAAATGCGCCAAAGATTTGTATTTAATACAATTAATTAGATTACAATTACAAATTATGGTAATTAATTTTTTTTTTAAAGCATCAAATTGAAGACATTTGATGTTACAATTTGAATACTTAAAAGAAAATATAAAACATGTATATATCTTTATTTGAGAAAATATAATATCTGTAAAAAATATACTAAGTAAGATATATTTGTATAGAACACAATAAGCAAACTTTTGTCACATTTATTTTCTTGTTTTTAATAATAATTTGACCTGTTTTTTAAGAAATTGACACTTTTTTAAAATTTTCAAGCAGCACATAACTATGTGATTAAATAAATATATGCCTTGCTAAAGTTATTCAAGCTGGAATGTAACAGCAATTTAGCAACTGTTTTCATACTATCAATTTTGAACGCGGTAAATATATGTGAGCAGCTGAAAATCACACGAACAAAGATTTATTGAATACAGTGATAAGTTCGTACATTTCAAATGCAATTCTCAATGATTAAAAAATATACGAAAAAATTGGAATTATAATGCAATTGAATTATAATTACAACAATCGAATTATAATCAATTGAATTATAATTATAATTATAATGCAATTGCAGTTGATA